AAGTCCCATGATCCTTTAAGCACTGCTGGTTTCCTCCGGTTAGCTCTGAAAGTGCTGAGGCTTGCGGGCTGGGCACAGGGAGCTGCCTCCAAGGCTCAAGATTTCGTGCCTGCTCCTTGACAAGCAGCGTATACATGGGGAAGAAGGCATCGATTGCTTCTGACGCTTTCCGTCGCGTCAGGAAGCTTTCGAGGGGCGTTGCTTGGCCACACCAAGGTTGTCAAAGACACTGCGAGCCGCGCATCGGCAGCTGCAAAAGAGGCATCGAAGGAGAAGGCAGGCAATGCCTTGGAGCGAGTCCCGGTCCGACCCGATGCGAAGAGCAGCGGTACTAGAAGAGACTTGAAAGAGAGATATCCGAATTCAGCTCCGAAGCCCAGAACGGAACAGACGATGAAAATCAAGCCTTTGTGTCGCAGGTGCACTCGGTGCAGCATTGGCTGAAAGAAGCCGCACCTGCACGGCAGGAAGTCATGGATAAGGCTCAAACAAGGCCAGGACGTCGGACATGAAAGGACGGCTTGCGGCTAATTCACTCATGCGACACCTTGCATCACTTTGCCAGGCTGTCAGCGCTTGTTCAAGCGACGGGTGCCGCGGCCACGAGGGCTGCGCAGAAATTCGTCGAGACTATGTGAATCCCGCGGGTCTCGCGTGGATGCGCTTGGTGGTTCTAGTTCACTGCCGGGCAAAGGCATCGGCAGTGTTGCTAATGTTTGGTGCTAGCCGCCCCATCCGCAGTCTGCCAGAAGGCAGCATGCTGGTGTGCATAGATTCCCTCGATGTATCGATGAAGGTCGATGAATGCTCGGACGAGAAACAGATGGAAGCCTCCTTGTGTAGGACCCATGCATGGCTGTCTCTGAGGCGCCGGTGGAAGGAACTACACTTGCTCTTAGCAGCGTTGATCTTTTTTAATGTCGGCAACTTATTTCGTCGCACTAGAATCACTAGAACTGTGAATCCAGAGAAGACCGGCCTTTTGCAATCCAGGTGCTCCTGTCACCACGGGTGCATGCTGCATGCAGCTCATTCGGGATGCTTTCGGGTTGGAGCTCAAAAGGGCCGGACCTGGTGTTTGCAGGCCAGGACCAACTTCACAGAACCCCAGAAAGTTGGAACATGGATTTAGGATGATTGGTGCTGGGATTCCCTATACTTTACCTTAAAAGGGCACTAGGAAAATCATGTTCCAACCTTCTAGCTGCTAGCTGCTACCATATCTCTTCCATGTCGCGCGGATGTAGCGACGAGTCGCATGGCCTGTTGCAGGCAATTCAAGCGACATTCAGACGAGGGACACGCAGGTCGTGCCGCAAGCTGCTGCAAGCCCTATGCTTGACAAAATCAGAGCTTGCCTTCAGGTGGTCAGCACGCAGCTGACGCCGGCCGTGCACGGCCTCGTGCGGGCTGCTGCCATTTTCGCAGGTGCTGCAGCTTGTGTATCTGCGACACCAACGAGAGCATTCCTCGCCCACTTCACATCCAGAGTCGGTTCGCCTTGCCAGGGTTCGCAGCCGTTGCCTTCGCGGATCTGCGCCGCTTCAGACCGCCGCTTTTCTAGCTAATGCAACTTAGTCATGCCGCCAAGGGCCTAGCCGGTGGTTTGGAGTTGTAATGCAAATATATGTAGACATCAGAGGCAGTAAGCCAAAGACAGACTTGATGATGTCCTGAAGAGCGCCATATCGTTCTTGCACCTTGTCTCTATAGTCACTGCAGTCCTTTGGCAAAAGGCCGGCACGTAGAATCTTCCCAACAGCAGCCATTGTTCAAGACCTGGAAGTACAGCTTGCACTTGATTGACATTTGAGCGCAGAGTTTTTTTCAAGAGGGCGATTGGTGCCTGAAGGCCGCTATCCTCCCTTTACTAAAGGCAGTGAGGGCTTCGTCATCGCAGCATCGGAGCATATCGCAGCATCGCTGCTTCCTGGCCGGCCTGGCCCAGGAAGACCTACGGATTCGTCGCCTTTGTTGGCGAGCTTCGGGCGGCGGTTGGCCTCGTTCTTCCAGTCACGCGGCTTCCGTCTAGACGTCTGGACCCAGTGCTGTGTTCCTGCCTGCACGATTCATAAGGTGTATCTCTTTCTAGCAGAGAGCTCAGCGATGATGGGCAATGCTTGGCGTGTGCACTCAAGGCCGTGCAAGCCACAACAATCCTGATGTAAGGTCATGGTCTGTTCTTGTCTATGTCTTATACTCGTCTCAGTGCTGGAGAGAGCTGGACTGTCCGAAGATACCGGCGAGGTAGGGGCGCTCTGGCTTAAGCAATTTAGACGCTGCTATCTGCCTGTCGCCCGTCAGGAGGTCATTGTATACGGCCAGTTCTACTTGCCGTGGAGTGCAGTGTATTGGATCATGAAGAAGGTGGCTTGACTGCCATTGACCCATTCATGAAGTTCTTCCCACTGTTGGGTTGTGCTTGAAGTTTGTTTTGCCAAGGAGTGGTTGGCAGAGCAGCAAGCGAAAACCGTGCTGCCAATGGCGACCAAGCCTTCGCAGAAAGTTTTCGATAAACGCATCGCCTGAAAATCACTTCATTGCATTGTCTTGAGCTCGCTGCATGAGAGACAGAGAGACAGAAACAGAGGGAGTAAGCGAGCCTCCTGCAGGCAGCTGCTGGTGCTCCGCTTGTGCAGCCAAGCCTGGCGAGACAAGGTCAGCCTGAGTAATCACTTGGGTGGTTGTCAAAATCATGGTCCCTTCTTGGGTACTTATTATAATACGGCACCTATTATTTAGGGTACCCCAAAAGGGACCATAATTTTGACAACTACCCACTTGACTATCCATTGATCTGCCTGTGGAGGTTGTTAGGGTAGCGGGTCGGAGCGGGTGGGGATGGAACGTATCAACTAAAAGCGCTTGGGAGATCGAAGCTACCAACAGGCTTTGGGGGGTTTACACAACGGGCTGCGCGCGGCATGAGGTGGCATGAGATGAGGGGTGTCTTAAATACTTAGATGCAAGGGGGTGTTACGTCTCGGAATAGTTTTCGCGCAGTAGTTGCTTTTTGACGCATGCTTGCAAGAGGACGTGGACCGGAGGGAGGGTTGTGGATATAATCGAAGCCGTGGAGCGGCGACCTGGGTCCGAACTTGGCTGGGTTTAGGGTTTCTGGATTTGGGGTTTGTAGGTTCAGGAGTTAGGGGTTTAGGGTTTCTGGGGTTGGGGTTTCTGGATTTGGGTTTCCAGGTTCAGGCGTTAGGGGTTTAGGGTTTGAGGGGCTAGGGTTTCTGGGTTTAGGGTGTCTGTGAAAAGGATGTAGTGTCTGCAGAGAGTTGTTGGTTGTGGCTCTTCTAATAACATAGCGTGAAGAGAACGCAGTGAGCGTAAGCAAGGAATACTTACAGAACACCCCCCCGTGAGCATCATCGAGTCCTCGATTCTACTCGCTGTGGCCGCTCCTGCTGGCACTCACACAGCCACCTGTCTGAGGGCAGCGTTGGAACTGGTAGCCCATGCTGACTGACATCCTGAAGATTTACCGCTGACGACTCTAATGGAACTTAAAAGTTTCGCGGCCTGGATCACGACCATGAATCGCCGCTGACCATGCGCCCGCATCACGCGCATCAGTGGGTCTTGGTTTCTCCCTCTGCTGACTTCCAGCAACACTTTGCGAAATTGCGTCAACATCGAAGCCAGCTGGGGCGGCCAAGTCGGACGCCCATACGCGTCCAGGGGCGACTTGACAGCGCATTGCCCCCTCACAGTGTCGCTGCAGCCCCCAGGCGCCCCTCGGTCACTGCACCCAAGCGGACCCTCACAGTCCCCAGGCCCTCACAGTCGCTGCAGCCTCGCGGGCGCCCTGCAGCCCAAGCAGTCGCTGCAGCCCCCAGGTGCCCCTCACAGTCGCCGCAGCGCCCTATCCAAGAGGATGGGTGAGGATAGCGGTGAGGATAGAGGTGGGGAGGGATGACGACGAGGGCACGACGACCGGCGCTTGGGCGATGAGGATAGCGGTGAGGATAGAGGCGGAGATGGATGACGACGACGCAGCGACGACCAGCCACGACGACGTGGATAGCTTTTTGTGGCTACCGTTTGTGGCTGCCGTTTGTGGCTACCGTTTCTGGCAACTGATGTGGCTACCGATGTGGCGACCGATGTGGCTACCGATGTGGCTGGGCAGCACATGACATCGTGCCCGCGCATGAGCCAGCCAGCCGTGGCCCCCAGCAGCGAGTCCTTCTTCCTGCAGTCAAGCGCAGGCATGCGCGATTGTCGCCAGCATCGCGAGCATCATGGGCACCTCGCTTCTCCTGCTTGAGGCTGTGTTGGCGGCGCCGAAAGCGCGACATCGGAATTTGTAGCACCCCGGCGGGCCGGCAAAACGCCACTCTGTGTGGGGCAATTGGAGATTCCGGGGTCACGATGCCTGAGGGATAGGCGGATCAGGTTTCGAAGTGGTGCAGACAAAGCGAGTCTTAGCCAGTTTTCGATCAGTACTTGGGGATTAAGGGGTGACGGGATACTGCGGGAGAGGGTTCCGAGGGAGGAGCGCCCTCAAATTCTTGCAGATGCCAAACGGCATACGTTCGAGGTCCAAGTGCACACTCACGTGTTTGCATAAAACATAGCATGAGCCTGCCCGACCCCTGAGAGCCAAAGGCGTTCTATGATGTGGAGCAGCGGGGGAAAGCTGAAAAGGATGTTGTGGAACCGAAGTGAGACGTCGGCCGACGTAGTCATTCTCTCTCTCTGAGCTTCGATTCAATTCAGTCAGCACCTTTCACAGGGTGTTAGAGCCGCTCGAAGATGCGACGATGTTCTTGTCAGGATACGTCGTCAGCATAACTATGTCCAAAAGCACACTCTGTTCGTTCGTATTCGGAATAGCCTCACTAGGCTTTTCTGCGCACGCGTGTGTGAGCACGGCCTCTGTATGTGCGGATTGCTGATTGTCTTTGTCGTTCATTTGTGCTTTTCGCTTGTTTGTGAATGAAACAGGGGGTATCTGCCTGACGACTAGCTAGCTTACTATCTATGAATCTATCTCTTGGACTGTCTGTGTGCCTGTGGCCGGGTGTTGCTTCGAAAGTGCACAATCCTCAATGTCAATGTAGTCGCCAGCTCAGCATCCCGTCTCATCCTCAGGTTGCCGTCGGCTTTCCCGCACGCTCTGGGAGTTGTTTTGAAAAAGCTCTCTTAAACAAGGTGCAAGGTATCCCAAGGTATCCGCCCAGAAGGCCCCAATTTTGTTCGACCCGCTTCTGCTTCCAGGTGACTTATGCACTTTTCGCTGGCTGCTCCCAGCGCTTAGCAAACGAAGATGCGCAAGTCAGGGCTGCCGTCCGTTTCCCAGAGTCGGAAGCCTAGCTGTTTTATGCAAATTCGTTTATGTGGTTTGAGGCTGTCAGCGCACTCGCAGCTGCCAGCAATCCACGCCGAACAGACGAGGACTGCAACACATGCTGTGACCTGCACATTGGGCGTTCCGAAGCTGCTTCGAATATCTTCGAACGCAGGACGAATCAGGCGAGAACGAAGCAAGCGCTGTTGCAGTCGCTGCCGCCGTAAAGAGCCTGAAGGCGTCGCCTCCTGCATCTTAAATTCCTTGTAGATGTGGCAGGCAGGGTCCAACTCCTACACTCGCAGCCGCAGGATGCCTCCGTGGACGTCCGACGGGTGGCTTTGCGAACACTGGCACATGTCGCACCTTGTGGGGACGCGGCGTGCATGGAGCAGGCATCTGCTTTGCTTACAGACCCGGCGTGGCCGGTCCGTTGGGCTTCCGTGGATGCAGTGGCGTGGCTGGCACAGGGTGGCAGCCAAGCGACGGTGCAAAGAGCGCTGGAGCTCCTGTCGTGGCGTTTGCGAGATGCCGATTGGCCGGTGCGACGCGCTGCTGCGAGCGGTCTTCACCACTTGCTCCAGTTCGTCAATGCCCTGTCTGAAGAGCTTGAAGATCAGCATGGCCTGGAAATGGATGCGTTGCAACTTCCAAGGCCCAAAGACCTGCAGAATTCCGTGGAGCACATGATCTTGCAGCCTTGCCTGAGACTACTGCAGGATCCAATGGTTCAAGTCCGGCAGGCTGCTTTGGATCTTCTGCCCTGGCTTTGCCAGAGCGCTCTTGAAGACGTTATCCGGGCGCTGCATTGTCTCCTTCAAAACGAGCAAGTTGCTGAACTTCGGCGTGCAGCGGAGAAGGTGTTGGACCAGCTGACAGTTACTCGTACACTGCAGAGTAGCTGCCTCGGAGAAGCACATTGACAGTCTCCGGTCCGCAAGCTAGAAGCGTGAGGTTCTTCCTTCGAGCACCCAAGCTTGCTTTGTCTGCTACGAAAGCTTCGACATGCCTTGGTGACTGTGTCTGGACTACAGTGGTGTGCGGTGTGACCTCCTGTGAATCTTCAAACAGTAGATTAGCGAAACCTCGAGCGGCATCGGGCTAGCGTTAGTCATGTTTGAGCTCGTGTACACTATAGTGGGGTCATGTGGGGTTGGCACCAACTCATCAGCTGCATCCACGTGCAACCTTGGATCACTGTCATGTGATGTTTGCCGTCAAGTCAGGCGGCTACCAGAGTTTCTTCGCACATACAGATTCAGTGCATCTGGTGCAGAAAGCCTTGTACACTTGCGTAGCGGAGAACCGCCCCAGAGATCGGGTGTAATTGCACAGCCACAGATCGCATGCAGACTCGAAATTGGCAGTCACATTTTGACAACACGGAACTTCTGCTGCGCAATGGACGGCTGGTCACTAGCAATAGTTTTGAGTCCCGGAAACATCCTTTTGAGATATACAGTACGGTGGGGCTTGTCGGAGTGAAACAGTTTCATACCGTAGTGCTAGGGCAAGATGGTGCATGTATGAGTTCTACATGTCGCCCCACACTTGAAAATACAGGGCTGCCTATAGTAGGGCATGGTGCATTGGAATTTGTGTAGCTGCGGTCTGCTCGTTTTTTTGCAAGTCCCTGCTGCAGCTATCATTACCCCCAGGTTGACCGGAGATGCAATGCTGGCGAAACGCTTGAGACAAACGCTGTGGAAAGACATTGTCAAAACCTGAAACCACATCGATAGCACGCGGTCTTGACCCTCTGCAGAGCTTGCATTCTCAAGAGCGTGGGGCCGCGGCACGGTGTCCAGGCCCTTTGCACAGCCATGGGCGGTGCACCATGCTCAAGCCGCGCTTTGCTCGTGCTGGGAGCGCCAAAAGCTCCCGGTAGATTTCCAGCCTCGACCGCCTCCCAATCCATCCCAAGCCAACGAGCCCTCTCCAAGCGCGGCGACATCGGGCGGAGGTGAAGACGACGAGCAGGTAGAACTGCATCTGTGCACAAGAAATACATTCAATGAATGTATTTCTGTGCACAGATGCAGTTCAGTTCATTGAATATCGCGCATAGGCTCGGAGGACACTGGCGACAAGCTCGGTGAAATTGCTTGTTTTTCTCCCCTGGATGATGCTTTTGAGCCCTCTCTCCGAGATGGTGGCGACTGACCGTGTCTGGTCCAGATACGGTCAGTCGCCACCATCTCGGGAGTGAGAAAGGGAGGCGCTAGGTGATTGGGCGGCTGGCGTGGCGCAAAGTGCCTGCCAGGCCTCATTCCTGCAGAAATTCGCGCCAGGCTTGTTGCCAGTTGGACAATAACAGCTGGCGGCCTGGCGACTAGCAGCCTGCGATCCGGTACGGATCCCAGGGCACTCTGATCCCTGCAAAACTCTAGAAATCCTTCCGGAGCTGCCCGAGCGTGCGCTGTTGTTTTCGCAATGAGACTCAGCCCATGCTGGGTGGTTAGGCTGGCGGGAAATGCATGATACTGCCAGGGACTGTTCCTGGTTGATTCTACTGTTTCTACAGCCGTGACATCGCGCTTGATTTTCTGTGGCAGTCTCACTTGCGCAGCACAGCATTTCCTGCCTGCATCTGTTCCACATTGCACCTGTTTCACATGCATCCATTTGGAGGTTCGCATTCGTGAGATTGCCGTCTAACACAACATGATGTGAAGACATCACATCCCATGGTCGGAGGCTCCCATCAGGCTTCCGATGTCCTTGCACGTATTTTGTGGGAGTGAACCTGCCGGCTGCCGCAAAGTGATGGTTCAAGGATGGAAAAGCTGCCCAGTAAGCTCGTGTGGCACGACTGCTGCTACATCATCTCGATCAGAACATCATGAATCATAATTGCTATGGCAACGGGGCATAAACGAGACCAGCGAGTGAGAGGAATCTAAACATGCAGATGAAGTTTATATCCCAGCTCTTGCAGTAGGGCGGAGGCAAAGCACCCGGGCGCAATGGTTCCTGGAGATGAGCGCTGAAGCCGTACGAATCGGCGTTCGACTGCGACCCTTCGTGTCACATGAGGCCACGCAGGCTGGACAACCCGCCTTGAGAATACGTCGGCCACCTAGCTCCTGAAGGCAGATTCGCCAGTCGCAGACACGTAGAGCACGCAGTCTCTACGGATGACGTTGCAATGCACACCACAAAAGAGGCACTTGCAAGTACCACACATGCGCATGTCCATCTGCCCAAGGTGACAATGCTGTCATTGTTAATGTGGAAGGAGCCGGAGGCAGAGTTGTCATGCCTCCAATGCTGTCATGGCCTGTGTTCTCGCATGTGCTTCTTTACGCCTGCCACGAGACTGGCTGGGCTGTAGCCACAGTACTTGTTGCACTACTAGTGATGGTAAATCCTTCGGATTCAGCAGGGTGTCTGTCGTTGGGGTGGCCGTGCTGTTGCTTAGGGGAGAGAGGGCTGACAGACCTCCTTTGATATTGGTCAAGTAGCCTTGATGAAGAGCGGGCTAGCGAAGCCAGTAATGCCAGCGCCCCATATCGTTGCGCTGCGGAAAGGTAGAGGTGTGAGTAGCCTTTGGAGCATTGCCCGTTTTGGGAAGTGTTCTACCGCCATGCTGCACTCCAACATGCCGCTTCCTAGCATGTGCTGCGAAGATGAAGAGGGCAAGAGCGTTTTAAACGAGGGCAGGCTCATAGTCACACCTGGGTTTGCCCGGACTTAACACTACCACTGCGAATCTGTCCGGGGCTTCGGGTTGCGTTCTCTGCAGGCAAAGCTGCTCCCAAGGAGTTTGCGTTCGACTATGTCATGGATTCTACCGATCCCAAAGCCAAGGTTTTTGTCGGCCAGGAGAGGTGCTACCAACTTATGGCCGGGAAGATGATTGAACATGCTTTCAATGGCTACAGCGCCTGCTTATTCTGTTACGGTCAGACTGGTACAGGCAAAACCTTCACCATCATGGGCAACTCCAAGGTGAAATCTGAGCAAGGCCTACTGTTGAGGTTTATGGCAGATATGTACCAGCAAGTGGACGAGCTGCTTGTGAAGCAAGGCTGTGAAATTCAGTGCAGCCTGCAGATTGTCGAGGTGTACAATGAAAAGGTGAGGGACCTCTTGAACGACAGCAGCCCTCAGAATCCTGAAGTGCACGTTCATCCCAAACTTGGCGTTTATCTTAAGCACGTACTGGACCTGCCGGCAAACTCTCTGGAGTCTTGCCTCACGCTTATAGAGGAAGCCAGAGGGCGACAAAGCTTCGCAGCAACAGCAATGAATGCACAATCATCACGTGGCCATACTGTCTACAAGCTGAGCTTGGAGAAGCATGGTGGCAGCGACAACACCGTCTTGACCTCCGAGGTCTATTTCGTGGATTTGGCCGGCCGCGAGAACGAGCGCACCACGAAGGTGAAGGGAGACCGTCTTGTTGAGCTAAGCTTCATCAATCGGAGCCTCATGTGGCTCTCCCAGTGCATCCACGCACTCGGGGGTGCGTCCGAGCCCGCCAAGCGGCGACACTCGGTAGGTGAGGCAGATCAGCTTGGTCCGAAGGAGAAACGTCGACCAGACAAGAAAGTGAAGGGGGACACCAAACGCAACACTGATGCGAGCCGCGATCGTGCCAGTGCCATCTCAGAAGACTCTGATGCAACTCCACATCAAAGAAAGGCAACAGGAGGAAAAGGGGTCGATATGACGAGATTCCGTAACTCCAAGTTGACGCTGCTGCTTGCCAACGCACTGAAGGGAAACTCCAAAACTTCCGTCATCTGCACGTTGAGCCCAGCAAGGCAGCATGTGGACGAAAGTTTGACCACTCTCAACTTTGCGACGAGTCTGAAGCATGTGAAGGTGGAGGCCAGGGCTGCAACCTTTGTGGACAAAGATTCGCTCATCAGCGGTTTGCAAACAGAGGTGCAGGCACTTCGAGACCGCCTGTCGTCCGAAGGTGTTGCTGCTGTCGAAGAGCTGAAAAGTGAGCTTGAGGTGGCGAATGGAATGCTCCAGAAGTACCGCGACTCCTGGCAAGAAAAGATAGAGGAAAACGAGAAGTTGCGAGAGCAGCGAAACTCGGCTCTACGCAAGCTGGGAGTAGCGAGATTTCGTATGGCCGCAAGGTCACCGAGGTCATTGTCTCCGAAGGAGGGGCCGGGGCCAGAGCCAAGTTCACGGCAGTCGAGCAAAAGCCCTCACTATAGCCCTCACTTGAGGCAAGAGGATTGTCCACATCTGGCAAGTTATTCCGACGATCCTCAAATTAATGGCCGCTTCATTTTCGCCGTCGCAGAAACGGGTTTCGAGTATTGCATGGGCTACAAATCTGATTGTGACTTCCTCCTACCACGCAGAGCTGGAATCGCCCCGCGGTCTTGTATTGTGTGGCTGGACGAGGGAGGGCTTTTTATTCGCCCAGTCTGTGTGGACTCGGTTCCAGTGGCAACGGTGGAGATCAACCACGTCAAGCTGAGAGAAGAACCAAAGGAGCTCAGACATGGTGACTTTCTGGTTGTGGGAAGCTCGATCTGTTTTGTCGTGAAGAGCGGCACCTCACCGCCCGGAAGTAACTTGCATGAGAAGTTACCTACATGGTGGGGCCTGGGGTCCCAGGATCGCGTGCGGATCATGCATCAAATTCTCCCTGAACCCCGCCGCGAGCAGCTTCAGGTGGCTTTGCAGTACATGTCGGCATTGCAAGGACAGAACCTCGACAGCAGAAGCTTCCAACGCCTGGACAAGTTCCTCATCTCTGCCAAACGAGCTGCGGCGCTCGTCGTCGAGGCCAAGTAACAATGTGTCAACACTTGTGCTACAGCAGTCTAGCGCAGTCTGGCCTGCTGTAGCTCTGCGCTGCAAGAAAAACACCCCGAGAAGAGTGATGACCATCCAAAAACCTAGACGAGCAATAGGCTGAGCTGCCGAAGCCGTGAGGCCAACGCGTTGACGGATGTCCTCAAACCGCTGTCAAAGCTTAACCTCGAGCTCTCCTCCATGGCACCAGTGATGGTGCACGGATACGGGGATTCTTGGAGGAGTCTTTATTTGTGTGCCCTTGATCGAACCCGTCACACAGAAGCATCAGAAGGATCCTTGCGTGTGCGTGTGTATGTGCTTCGAGACCGCGCCAGAGCTTAGGATAACTGTGGTGTCCCAGATCTGTGTGTTCGTCTGGTCAGGCAGACAGAAAAGGACCTTGCTGAACCTTTCTGAAATGCTGCTGTGAATCCAGAACCAGCCCGGACCCTGCGTGAGGAGGCCGAGCTTCTAGCCATCTGGACCATGGCACAATTTGAGGCGCGATTTGAGAGTGAGTGCATCCGAGCTCTCTCAAAGATTCGACTCAGGCGAGGCTGCAGATCATGAGGGAGATGCACGAGAAGCGTTTGCACAGACCCGACAGCTTCGCCCTAGATGCCAGGCACAGTCAGATACCTCGTTGGAAGCATACGGGAAGCGTGCACTGCAATGACTGCAATGAAGGCTGGATCCGTGGGCAGACTCCGGCATGCCACTAAGGGCACAAGGCCGACTGGCCGACTTCTCCACGGCACATCCGCGATGCTTGTGTGCGACACACTCTGTGACGCTGGGCAGGCACTCCAGAATGTCGCCCAAGCGCATCGCCGAGACTTGGCGGATGGGGCTGGCAGCTGCGTCAGGCTTAGCAGAGCGTGCTCTTTCAGCACTCGCCGAGGAACCTTGGCAGAGAAACCTTCAGCCTGCACCAGGACTTTGCATAATTGTGGCGCTCATGCTCGCACCAACAGGTGCAGGTTTAGCAGGCCGTACATGATGCCCTGCAGAGGATGCAGAGAGGCTTGTTCTGAAGCAACTTGTCCGCACTATGCCGTTGCAGATGCAGAGCTGCATGGCATTTAGCACAATGCAAGGATGGACAACCTCCTCGCCCAAAACTCCAGCACACCAGCGCATGAGCTTAAGGGTGAGGGACCTTCGGCCGCAATTGCGTTGGCTGGGTTCGCACGTAAAAACTAATCTGAGCCTCTAAGGACAGGAGGTTTCGGAATCGAAGGCCCCCACTGGACACCCTCCGCCTCCGTGCAAAGGCTTGGGCACGAAGTCAGTTTTCGGCTGCTTTTTTCGGATGCAGCAGAGAACTGCAGACGCTTTTGTAGGGAGTGGTGCTGCAGTTTGCAGTAGGGCTGGCGGTTGTGCTGGAAGCATGTATGCTGCATGCCCTGCAGCTCGGAGCGACGACAACATGGAGCAGAAGATGAGGCTCTTGCCACTTGCTGCTTGGGATTCGAACCCCTGCAAGCCGCAAATGCGATCTTTCTGAAGCGGTAGAAGCCAGACCGGAGATAGATGAGAGGAGGAGTCGAGGTGACGAAAGCCATACTCCGGCAGGCAAAGAGCTACAATGGCAGCACAATCCCCCGCAGGCGCGAAACCCTGCACTCCTCACTTCTACATGCCATGCACTTCATAGTGCACATCCGCACCTTTGTGTGCACAGCACACACCGTGCCTATTCAATCTATTGAGTGCGTGAGCAACAGCCACTGCATGTCGCACATACACTAGCACAAGACCTTGTAGCACCCAGGCACACATGCATGCATGCATGCATGCATGCATGCATGCATGCATGCATGCATGCATGCATGCATGCATGCATGCACAATCATATGCAGTCATACATACCTACATAGACATGCCTACATACAAAAATGCGTGCTTCCATACATACATCGGCACACACCTGCATGCGTGCATCTATGCATGCATTCGTTCATGCATTCATACATTCGTACATTCGCATACATACATCCATACATACATACCTACGTACGTAAATACATACATACATACATACATACATACGTACGTACATACATACATACATACATACATACATACATTGCTCGCACACACATACAGACAGACAGACAGACAGGCATACATGCATGCATGCATACATACATACATACATACATACGCATCATACGCACATACATGAAAGCATGCAGTCACATTCACATACACGCACGTGCTTACTTACATGACCACCCACCCACCACACACCCGCCGACCCAGCCACGCAACCCACGTGCTCATGCGCTCGCACACACTCACACACATATGTTGCCAGCGCATGGAATTATCATGATGGTCTATATGGAGACCGTGTTGTGAGCAAGCCGGCGTGCTCTACTACTGGGTTTAGAGACTTGCTTTGAGCAGTTATACAGGAAGTTGCTTCGGTCGCCGGAAGCCTTCTGCCCGACGAGGGTAAGCACGGTGCCAGGGGCATGCGATAAATCATGATAAATCGCTATCCAATAGCTCCACAAGCACGTTCCATGAACTGCAAACGCTTGTGCATCTCAGCACTGCAGCTGGCTTGCTCACTGGAAGTTCCACATGGTGCTGGCCAAGAATCACTCAAGCTGCTAGGATTCAGAAGGTAACAGGGGCCGTGAGCATCGAGATCCGCCACGTCTCTTTCGTATCTTTTGCAGCACTAACGCAAACAGGGCGTCCCGCCTACCACTACGTAAAACTAGCCACTGAAGACACTGGAGTCTGGTCTTGGCAGCACCTTTAGGTGAAGCCTCACCATTCGAACACAGCTTCGCTGCCGAAGCGGCGTCTTCGCAGGTGACTCCCCAGGACCGAAACATCGGAGCCGCTCCTTGGGCCTGACGGAGGCGAGAAGCTACTGATGTGATTGGTGCATTGAAGGGCCTTTGGCAAGTTGTGGCAAGCAGATTTCCCAACTGAATGTACAGCTTGCATCTTGCAAGTCTCAGAATAGCTGCACATGACCAGTTGGACGGCTGGGAGAAGGGCGTTCAAGCGACTGACCCGCTGCTTGGCAATAATAAACCGTTGGGGACGAGAATGGGAAGTAGAGCTTTGTCATCGGGTGCATAAAAACATGATCATGCAGACAAATTACCTCGTACCAAGACCTCGTTGAGCGATCTGTCCATTCTCCATCTTGACGGAAAAGGGAGCCAACCGAGCTTGTTGAGTGAGGCTCGCAGATGCTTCCACCAGCTTCTCGTCATCTGCAGGTGGGGTTGAGACCACAGGTAGGCCGCAGGCCCCGAGAAGCACGAAGTGCTGAAACCGAGAAGTGCTGCAGGTCACTTGACGGCAGACTTCGGCAGCGGCTCACCGGCCTTCTTCCCAGAGGCTGCAAAAGGGCCAAAACTGGCCATCTTGTCACTCGGAGCTGCGCTGCAGGCAGAACAGGAGGTGTTGGCAAGGGCACTTTTTAGCAGGCAACAAGGCGATCCTGATCTGGGAAATTTGGGCGACGGCCCCTTCTTGGCTACATCCGCCCACTTCCCTATGCATGCATCGCCTTCCGAAAAGTCTCTTTGGGGCATCCAATAGGGAAGAGACCCTGCTAAACAACTGGGCCCCCATTCTGCATAAGCCC